TTAACGACTATCTTCCAAATTTCCTCATAACATCTTGTTGGTCCCTCGTAGAAAGTTGGGAACCAGCGCGTCACCTTGTGATTTCCTTACGTACTAGCCATACATAAATTTGATTTAGATCAAGATACCCTCTTTTAGTTGCGTACAGACGCGTCCAGCGCCATTTTCTTTTTCTCTTCCTCTGGGATTTTGGTTGTGTGTGGTCGTTTTCTCGTTAAGGCGGCTCCGACGCAGTGAGTTTCAAGCCATTTACAAGGGTTCAGCGGCTTCAAAACTGATGCTCCATTTTTCAATATTTTTGAATGAAATTCATACAGTATGTTCAGAAGATAATTGCCCAGGGTGCTATAGGAGCACTTTTTCAAATTTTTGTTGTCGCACAAGTTTTATGATGGGTTAAAGTGCGCACTTTTTCTGTTCAACTTCGCGATTTATTTAAAAAGAACATAGTGAAAAAAATTAAAAGGTTTCTCTGTAGCACTTCAGCACTCTGTGGGGTTTTGTTTTCAGCACTCTGTGAAAATTTGATCCAAAAATATCAAAAATAAAGCGTCAATTTCGAAGCGCGCAAACCTCTACAAATCGTATTTTGGACGAATTTTGTCTACTGTTTCGTGCTGCCAAACCAAGCGTTGCGGCGGAATGTACGGACTAAGAAAGGACGTATTCAGATAATTTGGTGGCCCTATTTCATATATCGCGTAGATAAGTCGTTTTATTCCTCGATTTTAAAGCCGTTTTACTTCCCACGTCATTGGCCAGGAAGTATTGTAATCGCGAAAAATTTCTAAAATGAGATGTTATGTTTTTTTAAGTATATATATATGACATCTACATCACGAAAAACTGTATCACTCATCAACTTGCAAATAACCACTCGGATTTTTATGAAATTTCCACACGAGGTTACTAGTATGCCAAAGCTTTGTAGTTTTAGTCCAGTGGCAACGGTGATATAGGCAAAACAGAAAAAGTAACAATTGCTGAAACTCCGTTTTTGACGTTACAGGGGTTCCTTGTCATTGGCAGAAAAAAATTGTACTGCTTAAAAAGTGGGGGTTGGGGGAAGGTGATTCTAAATGTTGCATCTTTGATATCAGTGAAACACGTTCTATTACACTGATCAACAGCCAAAAAATATCCTAAATAAAATCAACAAAATATTACTATTTTTAATGTGCTAAAACCGGAATGAAACTTATTTTTTCAATATTAGTTCAAGTTTTAGAGATACGGTAATTATATGTGTTCCTGCTGTTACAGTGTTAATATACTGTAATTCACAAGAATGCACGTGCTACATTTTTATATTCGGCAAGGAAAGATGATGTAATCGGCATGATTGTGTTACGTTATACATACGTGTACATTATATTGTTTTATATTAGCCATTTTTTCCTCAGTTGGCTGACAGCGTTCATGCAAGATGTCTCGAAAGTGTGTAAACAATCCAGATCAGTTTTGTTACGTGTGTGGTGATGTGACTTTTGCGTCTCAGAGACGGTCTATTACTCCACTAATAACAAAGGCATATCAGCTTTATTTCGGTTGTAAACTAGGTGATCAAGACAAACAGTGGGCACCCCACATCTGCTGTAATACATGTGCTTCAAGTCTGAGGAGCTGGTTAAATGGCAAAAAACGGTCTATGCGCTTTGCTGTCCCAATGGTTTGGAGAGAGCCTACAAATCATATTAATGATTATTACTTTTGCATGGTACCTTGCGTTGGACAAGCCACAGGTATGTCCAAGAAAAAAAAATCGGTTATTAACTACCCAAACATACCATCTGCGATGAGACCTGTGCCTCACAGTGACGAAAATCCTATTCCAAAACCCCCAGAATCCTACACTTGCGAATCAGAAAACGAATCAGATCATGGCGATCGAGTGATTCGTCAGGAAGAAGATATGCCATCAACGTCAAGAGATCCTGATTTTATACCGAGCACGTCATGCCACCAACCGCACAAAATAACACAGTCAGAATTAAATGATCTTGTAAGAGATTTAGAACTTCCAAAATGTAAGGCAGAGTTACTTGGATCAAGATTGCAGCAGTGGAACTTGTTAGAAGACGATGTTTCGGTATGTGTTTTTCGTAAACGCCACAAAGACTTAGAACCATTTTTCAATATGGAGAATAACTTGGTTTTCTGCAGTAACATTAACGGCTTACTGGCGGCTTTAAATATAAACTATAACCCAGAAGAATGGAGATTGTTTATAGACAGTTCAACATTGAGTTTAAAGGCAGTGTTATTGCATATTGGAAATATTTTACCATCTCTTCCTGTAGGGTATGCAGTTCACATGAAAGAATCGTATGACAATATGAAGTACCTATTGACATGCATAAAATACGATGAGCACCAATGGCATATTTGTGGCGATTTGAAAGTTGTTGCACTTTTACTTGGGCTGCAGCTAGGCTACAAAAAGTTTTGCTGTTTTTTGTGTGAATGGGACAGTCGGGCAAAGGCACTTCATTACACCAGACAAAACTGGCCTGTTCGTCAAGCATATCCATTAGTAGATTCGAAAAAAATTTTATTACCACCACTGCATATCAAGTTGGGCCTAATGAAAAACTTTGTCAAGGCATTAGATAGAGATGGGTCAGCTTTTCAATACCTGCGTCAGAAATTTCCAAGACTAAGTGAGGCAAAGGTTAAAGAAGGTATTTTTGTTGGGCCACAGATTCGAAATATTTTGAAAGATACACAGTTTGAAAACACTTTAACAGGTATTGAAAAAACTGCTTGGAATGATTTCCGTCTGGTGGTCACTAATTTCTTGGAAAATGGAAAAGCTGACAACTATAAAACCCTTGTCAAAAATATGCTGTCATCGTATCAAAAGATGGGGCTGTAATATGTCTCTTAAGATACATTTCCTACACTCACACCTGGACTTTTTTCCTGACAATTGCGGAGCCGTAAGTGATGAGCACGGCGAACGTTTTCAACAATGGAAAAAAGGTACAAGAGAAAGTGGAATCCTTCCATGCTTGCAGACTACTGTTGGACTCTTGGTAGAGATGCTCCAGAAACGATCCATAAAAGAACAGCAAAAAGACAGCGCATATAGTGATTCTTATAAGTATATGAATCTTGTTAATTTTTTTAATATATCCTTAAAAATAAAAAGTTTTTATTCTAAACCGCAACTAATTTTTTTATTTCATTGTCATTTTGGGATTCAGCGCCCCAAAATTAACAAAGAAGTGCACTTTTCCCACATGATACAATAATTAAAAAACTAAAATTTGTTGTCCAGTGTTTCCTTTGATCTACAAAATTGTTTCTTTGACTTTTTCGCATACGACCGATAGATTGCGAGGTATTCGATCAAACGCGTTTATCAAAATGGCGGCCAAAGCTCAGACCTAGGATGACGCCAAAATCATTAGGATTTTCAACGATACCAGCGCGGCTGCTATGCGGATTCCAAAGAAATTTTGTTAATCCGATTTTTGAACAGCCGAAGGTTAGTAGAACTGGGAAAAGCTTCCTCATGCAGATTGTCATGCAATCTCGATACCCTAGCGAAAAAGCAGCTGTTGTATCGGCCAGGTGTACGATCTTTGACACGGTTAGAATGGGAGGCCGAAGTCAGGCGGGTCTGCCTGGCAGGCGCATCGCGCGGCGGCATCATGGAGAGCCCTGAGGGGCAAAGCCCGTTAGCGTAGCGGTAAAGAGAACTAGATCGCCGAGTGCCTGTTGGTGCCTCAAACATGTGAGCAATAACCGAGGCCAGGTCTTATCTGGTCCTTGTACAAAGTGAGGAGGTCATGTGGAGAAAAGTTAGCAGTCATAAATAAATGGCTTAGCTTTTTTCCAGCTGCTGCGGTTATTGATGAGATGTGTTCGTGCATGATCAAGTTCTCGGTGATCTGGACACCGACCAGCCGAAATGAACGGCTGGTTGGTAGAACTCGACACCGGATGAGCGATAGGACGCTTCTTATTCGTCAAGGTGCAGTACTGTGTTTTGGAAGCATTAAATAGTACAATAGTGTTGCGTCACCAAGAAGTGATAACCTCCAAGTGTCTCGTCATAGAGGAAAGCGTTGCTAGTCTTCTTTTCTTCAGCTCACCAGCAGAGGTGGGTTTGTCACTCTGATTTCCTCTATGTAGAGTGCTGTCATCAACAAAGCTGTAGAGCATTGATTCCCAAAGTGGTCTATATCGACCCCTAGGGGTCTATGACAACCTGCAAGTGGTCTACGTCAGCGAAAAAAAATTTGGGGGTCCATGAAATGAATATGGGGGTCCACGATAGTGGATCTCAACACATACACTGATAGTACCTATTTACTTACATCATACTATCTTATAATATCAAAACATATACATTATTCATAAAAGTACCTATGAAGTAAAAAATTTATTATATATGTTTATAAAATTGTGTAAGTTGTTCAATTCGTCACTCTATAAATACGAATGTGGGACAAATACGTTTATTCGTTTCCTGAATCTTGAAAAGGAAAGTGCTAAGAAAATATTTTAAAAAATATAAACAGATAGTATATTACACAAATTATAGTGAGTCAGTGTTATTTTGTTTGAGAGTGCTGGAGAAAAGTAAGTACATTATTTTTTATTAAATTTTAGTTTTGTACTCGTAGTTAGCAAAGATAGATAAATTACGCCAATCATGACTTTAGTTATTAGTAGTTAAATATTCAATCATGCAAAATTACACGAGTACTCCTCAATAGTTTCTTTTTGAAAGTTTTAGCAATCGGTAATATAATTACAGTGCAATCTCCGTAATTCGAGATAATTGTTGCAAGAAGATGTTCGAATGTTTTCGGAAAAATCAAAAAATATTTTTAATGTACAGCTGCTGGATTTTCTGTCTTATTTAAATAATTTAATTTTGCCCACAGATGACTGATACCATGTCCGAATCTAAAAAGAAATGTAGACAGTACAGTGTTGATTATTTGAAATTTGGCTTCAGTCCATCATTGCCGGACAAACAATCGCCTATGTGCCTTTTATGCAACAAAGTTTTGGGCAATGACGCTATGAAACCATCTAAACTGCAAGATCATCTGAGAAGATGCCACCCTGATAAAACAGAGAAAGATTTGAAATACTTTCAAACATTCAAAGATTCATTTCAGAAGAGACCTACACTGGACAGAATGTTCGCTTCGACGTCACAAAGAAATGATGATGGTTTGCGGGCGTGTTACAATGTCTCGTTACTTACAGCAAAATCCGGAAAACCGCATACTATCGGAGAGAAGTTAATTTTGCCAGCCGTTGAAGAGGTTTTAAAAACTGTTTTACACAAACCTGCATCTGATATCATTAAAAGAATTCCCTTAAGCAACAATACTGTTGAAAGACGTATTGATGAAATGAGTTCTGATCTGGAAAGCTTCTTATCTAATTATTTGCAAACGACCCATTTCTCTATACAACTGGACGAGTCAACTTTACCTGATAATGCAGCATTATTATTGGCATATGTTCGACACTAAAGGTGAATCAATATTTCATGTTTTGAAGGATTACTTCATTGAAAAAGCAATTCCTTTATCAAATACAATATCAGTAGCTACAGATGGAGCACCTGCCATGGTTGGACGTTATCGTGGATTTATAAGCTATTTAAAACAAAATGTGTCAGGGGTGTTAGCAATATATTGCGTCATCCATCGACAACAGTTAGTTGCTAAAAATTTGAGTGTTAGATTGCATGAATCACTTCATTTAGTCATTGATGCAGTAAACCGAATCCGAAGCGACGCGTTGAATACGCGGTTATTTGCGCAGTTGTGTGAAGAAAATGACGAACACTTTCATCAATTACTCCTTCACACTGAAGTACGCTGGCTGTCGAAAGGCTTATGTTTGACAAGATTTTTTGCACTTTTTGAGAATATTTTAGAATTTCTGGATACTAAAGATAAAATTTTATAAGAAAATTTAATGAAGAGGAAAACAGACATCGCCTATTTAACAGATTTGTTTACAAAATTTGATATGGTTAATTTGCAATTACAAGGCGACAGTTTAAATTTGATTAAAACAAAGTCCATGTTATCAGCGTTTCTTGCCAGAGTTAAACTAATGAAGCAAAATATTGGACGGGCGAATTTTCTCAGTTCCCCTATTTGTCACAGACAAGCTGCCAGGAAGACGACGTTTCAACTTACGTTCAACATTTAAATGCCTTCTATTCAGATTTTGAATATAGGTTTGAGGATATTTTGACTATGGTAATACCACCGTGGATAATTAATCCATATAGTGACATAGAAAAAACGAATGTCATAATACAAGAGGAACTGACTGAACTAAGTACAAACGAAGAACTTGAGGTCAGTTTAAAAACAGATATCAGCAATTCTGGTTGTAAAACAATTATGGAATATAGCGAGGAAATTTTTAATTTCCTTTCCATCGTCATACCTAGTGGAAAGGGGGTTCAGCGCTGTTACCAATCTCCTAACCAAAAAAAGAAACAGACTGGACATCATTAGCCGATGAGATTTAAGATTAACCCTTACAAAATTGATGCCAAATGTTGATAATATATTATTAAAGCATCAGGTTCATCCTTCTCACTAAAAATATTGACTTATTGCTTATGTTATTTTATTTATAGTTTATTTTATGTTTATTGGTGTCTGACCAATAAATGCCCGCATTGGGAATAAGTGCCCGCATTGATTTTTTTAAAGAACCCCTTTATAGAAATTTTTTTTTTTAAATTATTCTGAATTTAATCAAACAGTGAAATTATTACAAAACATACGTTTATGTTATAATTAATAAACCAACTCGCTTATTGTACTATTTTAAGTAAAAAACTTTTTTTTAAGTTATTTTTCACTTTTTTTTTATTTTATCCCTCTTATTTTTTTTTCAATGCGGGCACTTATTCCCAATGCGGGCACTTATTGGTCAGACTCCTGTTTATTTAATGTTACGTATATTTTACATAACAGATACAAAATTTTATTTTGAGTAGTGTTAATTTAAATTCAATTAAAAAATGTATAAATTAACATGTGTTTTTACTTTAAGTTTTTAACACTAAACTTCACTACAGTTAGAAATTTACAGGAAATCTGTATCGGGTAAGTAGGGGGTCTACCCAACACGGAAAAACATGGCAAGGGGTCTACGACACAAAAAAGTTTGGGGAACTCTGCTGTAGAGGAACAATCTCGTAACCAAGACCGATCCATGGGAAACACCCGCGTTGACTTGAGTGATGAAGAGAAGAACCCGTCACTTACCACGGATATCTGGCTGGCAGAGGGAAAGTCGGTCTCTCGTCTACAAAGCTTCTAGGAGGCCATACGAGGCCATTGTAGGGTTGCACCCTTCCCCCGAGAAAATTGGCTACTCCCCGCTCTTCGTAAAGCTTTAGCTGCTGATACACTTGCAAAAAAGTTGCATCTTGTCGATGGCTCGCCCATGTATACTTTATCTGAAGTCACTTGAAATAGCATAAAAACCTTTGGTCGGCGCGTCCTTTGTAATTTCATGACGTATCAAAGGCGTGCGGTCATTTATTTAGAACGATAATAATAATGTTTTTATATCACAATAAGTGGATTTTACTATCTTCTTATTTTTTTGATTTGGGATAAAAAATACTTATATTGGGAGTTTAATTTATGTTGACTGAAAGTTAAGAAATGGAAAAATTACAGAATTCCAACGTTTGACATAGGCAAATATTTACATAGCAGGTAGGTATATAAAAAGGTATATAAAGACTTACATTATAGGTATTTATATATCATCCTCGCCTTCGGAGCTGTCGCTAGAGTCATCTTGTAGAGGAATTACAACGGGATTTACAGGAGGCAAAACACAATATTCATTTTCTTTTTCAATAATATGCCTAGAACACTGCTTCCATAGGTCTGTGGCAGCAATATGAGATACTGCATCTCTTACTGTGGCCAATATAGATTCACTTAATTGAGGGGTCTGATTATGTTTTCTTACTTTTTTTTTAAAGCAGCCCAGACCAACTCAATCGGGTTAAAAATGCAGTAATAGGGAGGTAGACGTAATACTTCATGGCCATTTTGCTGAAGCAGATTGTCAACAACATACTCTTTTTCAAATTTTTGTCTTGTAATAAGATCCAATAATATGGCTTTGGTTGATTTTTGTGGTATTTCCATTCCCTTATCCTCCATAAAATCAATAATGTCTTGTTTTTTGTGCCTGTATTCGGAATTTTGTTTTTCTGTCGGGAATGGTATGGCGCATTGTCCATAATAATCACTGAATTTGGGGAAATGTTTGGTATTAACTGCTGCTCTATCCACTTTTCAAATAAGTCGGAGGTCATGTCCTCATGATAGTCGGCACATGATTCTTTGATATTTTTGGCAGATAACAGCAAGGCATTAGGTATAAATCCATTTTCACTGCCAGCATGGAGAATAATGATTCGTTTTCCACGGTTGCATGGTGCATTTAAAATGCACTTGTTGCTGTCGTCAACCCAGCCGTACTGCACAACATCATGGGTATCATACCACGTTTCATCCAGGTAAATCAGATTTCTTTTCTGCTCTCTATAGATTTTAACTTTGTGCAAAAATTCTTGGCGCAATTCAACGATTCGAGACGACTCCATAATCACCATTCTTTTATCTAATTTTTTGTATTGAAAACCACACAGTTTTACAATACAGTGCAGTGAGTCTAAGCATTTGTAATTATAAAAATCTTCAGGATAATCTTTTAATTTATCCCGTATCATTTCCAACGTGGGCACCAAATTTACTTTATAAAATCCGTATGTTATACGACGAATATCTTCCTGAAAACCCACGTCTATTCTTTTTAATTTTTGCCCTATGCGCTTTCTGTGGAAGGAATGGTTGACTACATCTCTCCTTTTTATAACCCGATAAATGGTAGACCGACTGATTTTTGTCAGGATACAAATTCTGTTTAAAATTTGATTTTGCGAGGAATCTTTCAGACAATCATACATATTTAGGATTACTCTTTGGGTCTGTTCCTCTAAATCTTTATGAAAGAATTCTGCCTGCACAGGTTCATCAACCATCTCCTCGTGGCTTGGAGCATTTCCCCACGGTCTCCAAAGAGCCATATTTAGGACACACAAGAACAATCAACACAACAATTAAATCAACAAGTAAACTGAGTATTCAAAAGTCAAAAACACACAAACTAATAAAATTTATGAAAAAACACGGACAGACTAAAGAAAACACGTTTATTCACCGCTACACGGCACTGGCTAAACTGTTTCAATTTTCAGTAGCCACCTGCACTTGTTCGGAGCTCTGAAATACACGCTTTCTCATTGGCTATGTCCACGCATAGGCGTGCTTTACTCCACGTGGACCGGTGAAACTGCCTTTCATGTTATATTTGCTGCGAAATTTGGCGATTTTTGCAGCAACAGAGCGTGTTAAATATAGATATATAAAACGCACCCGGTATTTCACAGTGTTTCAAGTGACTTCAGATAAAGTATACTTCCATGCCTCTTTGATATACCTTTCGACTCCGGGACTTTTTCGGAGAAAATTACAACTTAAATCCCGCAGCTCTCCTGTGTGTGGGGAGTGCTTAACAGACTGCTTCCGGAATATCTCGAGCATCACAGCTCAATTAGCGACACACACAAAGTTTATGTCCCTCAGGGATATAGCTATTATGAAATTGGCACAGGGAAGAGAGTTAACCTGCTTTTGAGGAGAGAATTTACCGGGCGTTTCAAGTTCTACCCTCACCATTGGGATCCAGGAAACGATAAGAGATACGAAGTTGCTTAGATGGGGGACACGTTGCGTATTTAGGTAGCTACGAGGGATGTCTTTTAAGTTTTGCATATGGAAATAAAACAACACGGTATGTAGTTTTAAATGACTTTATTGTTTTTCGAAGTATTCTCCACGAAGATTAATACTCGCTCGAACCAATTTTCGAAGCACTTATTCCTCTCGTTCGATGGCAGATCCAAAACGGCATTTTTGAATACGTCAACTGTTTCTTCTGGTGACTGGAACCTTTGGTGCAGGATGATTCATCTTTCGGGGTTGATTTTTCGAAGCTCGGTGATGACTTTTGGCAAACAAATGGTGGTATACCAATCCGCAGTAACAGTTCATTGCTTATTAAGAGGAATTGTTGCGATTTTGACACAAATGTCGCGACCATCTTTTTCGAAACACTTCGAGAACGGATGACTTGTTTTGGCTTTCTTCACCTTGGAACACCCAAACAGCCGACTGTCTTTATTTTCTGGTTCATCACCACTAACAATGCTGTACACATTTTTTGAGTTTCCGGAATTGGAACGCTCTAGCGTTTTTTGGCACCAATTAACCCTGGCTGCTTTCTGCTCTTCAGTCAACAGGCGGGGTATCCAACGAGAAACTAATTTTCTTACTCCTAATTCTGCATGTACATTTTTTTGAATTGAGGTTTTTGAGATCTTCAAGGATGCCTCAATCTCGCGATATGTGAT